AAAAAAAAAAAGAAAAGAAAAGAAAAAAAAAAAGTCCCTGTGAAGACCTCCCGGATTGTGGGAGAACAGAGAGCAGAGACATAAACAAAAGCTACAATGTAGCTGAACCCCGATCCCTGCACTTGGAGCTGTAAGGGTCGGGTCCCTGCCCTGGGGCCGGCGGGAGCAAACTGGCTGTGTTGAGACCAAATCCCCCTACGGGCTCAAAATGATCCCGGTTCTGGCAGAGACAGTGGCGGGGCCAAGGTCAAGCCCCAGCCTGCTTTCACTGAGGTAAGCCAAAAGCCCCAAGCCCCTCAAAACCCCGTGGGTCTGTGCCTACTTATCTTTATAGTGCTCCTCCTGTGTTCCAGTTGTGCTAAAGTTTCCTCTAAGCAACTCACCTGGGCTGGATTCTGCAGAGTCCCTCTGGTACGTGTCACTCCGTCGCCATCTTCCCGGAAGTCAATTTTTGAATTCGTGTAGACCTTTTCTGTACTTGTTCACATCTTCTTGATGATAGTCATTCATTTTATAATAAGAGCAAAGGACAAAGGGGAGTTTTTCAAGAGTATATGCTTTGGCTAGCCCCAAAGGGAGAGGACAAACCTGAATACAAAAGAATGTTGGAGAGTCTACAGGTGGAGTAAAGGACCAAGCCCTTTCTGGTTCTGAAGGCAGGGACGGGGCAGCCCAGTGCATCCTGGAATGAGTGAGAACTTGGAAGCCATTCCTGGCTTTCCCTGTTTTGTTCCCACAGGACTCAGCTGAGTTGGCCCCAATCAACCATCCGGACAGACTTCACAGTCAAGCAGCTGCCCCACAGCAACTGTCTTTGAGGGGAAAGTGTGATCCAGGTGTGTCCTAACACAAACCCATCATCTTTCCACCATCACTATTCCATCTCCTTTCTGCCTTCCTTCCACATATCTGTCTACTTTCTACTGTCTTTTTCTTGCTTTGGCTGTTTATTGCACACTGTGTCACACTCCATGCCAGTGGAGTGCAAGTGACCCATTCCCTTATAGTGTTCCCTTTCAGCGATGGGATTGAGACAAACGGATCAGCGTGCATGGCAGAGGGGTGTGGTAAGTACCGTGAAGCATGGTAGAAGATGCATAAGAGAGCATCATGTGTAGTGAGGCCTCGCTGGGATGATGACTTTGGGCTGAAACCCAAAGGTAAGCCATCCCAGTATTGAGGGTAGGCTGGGAAGAACACCCCCCCACCACCAAAAAAAACCTAACTCATGGCCATTGAGCTGATTCTGACACATGGTTACCCTTTAGGACACGGTAGACCTGCCCCTGTGGGTTCCGACCCAAACTCTTTATGGGAGTAGAAAGCCTCATCTTTCTCCCACGGAGAAGCTGGGGGTTTCAAACTGCTGGCCGTGAGGTGAGCAGCCCAACACTTAACCTCTAGGCCCCCAGGGTTCCCCTGAGGTAGGGCAGAGTGCTGTGGAAAAGGACACAGCAGGAACCAGGGTGGCAGGGTGGCAGGAACGTGACATAGATGAAAGTGCTGTATGTTTGTCATATCAGCATGGCATCAGGCTTCCCTGAGTACTATATCTGTGGAATAAGGTTTGATGTCCGAAGTGTGAAACCTCCCATCTATTTATCTGTTCCTGTGTCTTGATTACTATAGCTTTGCAGTAGGCTTAAAGTTGGTGCCATCAGGCAATAGTTTTTGTTCAGTGTAATTTTGGGCCTTTGGAATTTCTCTTTATCTTTAGAATCAGTTTGCATATATCCACACAGTAAGTTACTAGGATTTTGATTGACATTGCATTGAATCTGTAGATCAAGTTGAGAGGAATTGGCATTTTAATAATATGTATTCTTCCTATCCATGAGCATGGAATCTCTCTCCATTTATTTAGATCTACTTTGGTTTCTTTCTTTAATATTTTGCTGTTTTTCTAATGTAAATCTTGTACATTTTTTTGGTATGAAAGTAAATGGTGTTTAATTTTATTTTCAAATTCCAATTCTTTATTACTGATGTGTAAGAAAACAAGTGACTTTTGTATATTAACCTTGTGTATTGCTACCATATTTTATAATCATGTATTAGTTCCAGGAGTTTTTAAAAATAAATTCTTAAACTGTTTTGCATAGAAAATCTAGTCATCTGTCAACAAAGAGAGTTTTGTTTCTTCTTTTCCCCTCTGTATACCTTCTCTTATGTACTTGCAATGACTAGGTCTTCCAGAACAATGTGGTCTAAGAGTGTTGTGAAAGGGAATGAACAAACGTTTCATGTTTCCAATATTAGAGGAAACATTGTAGATCTTTCTACCTGCATATTTGTTTGTGCTCTAGGTATATTCACATATATAATAGAGCACCTCTGGAAACGTCCTAGACATAAGCCCATACTTCTCAAGATTGGGCCCACACTGAGTTTGAGGCTAAGGACCGCAGTCTTGCATCCATCTAGATCTGTGGGGTCACTGCGGACTCCCAGTGAGCCGCTGTGCGTTTCTGAGACCGTAACTGTTTACAAGACTAAAAGCTCAGTCTTTCTCCCACAGAGATGCTGGGGGTTTCGAACGGGTGACCATGCAGATCACAGCCCATTGCCTAGCCACTGTACCACCAGTGTCCACTAACCAAATAATAGACTGAGCCATAAAATAAGCAATACCATCCATAAAGAATGTGTTCCTTAGGACAGTCAACGAGAGGAGACCAAAAAGGGCAAATTTGCCCCAAAACGAAGATGCAAAGGCATGAAGGGTCACAGAACTGCATGAACGGAAATGGGGAGATGAAGGTGGAAGCAGAGAGCAGCAGCAATCTGTTATGGATTTTGCAACCCCTGTGACAGGACGAATGGAAGTTTAACACCCTTTGCAGTGGGTTAATATCCTTGCTTCTCTTTAGTTGGCATGTGCTTCACACAATGCTACAATTTAATCATTCGATCATATGAAGGCGTTATATTAAGATTTGCGTAACCATCGCCTCCATCACTTTCAGGACATATTCTTCCTGTACCCTGTGTTGTTACCTGTCCCTGTGGGTTTCCAGGACTGTAACTCTTTATGGTAAGGGGGAGAGAGCGTTCTCTGTCCCCACGTTCTTCTTGCAGTTCCTGGCATGTTCATTGTGCTTTAGGTACACCACGATTAAAAGAAACATCTATTCCTTTTCCAACTTTCTACTGTCCAACTTTCACACACATAGGAAGTGATCAAAATAGTGTGGCTCGGGTTGGACACACCTTAATCTTTAAAATGACAGCAGTTTTGCTTTTTTGTTATGTACTTTTAAAAAAATTCTTTTTTCGGGGCTCGTACAAATATTACCACAATCCATACATCCATGCATTGTGTCAAGCACATTTGTATATTTATCGCCCTCATCATTCTCCAAACGTGTGCTTTCTCCTCGCGCCAACAGTTTTGCTTTTTAACAGTTTAAAGAGGTCTTTTACAGCAGATTTGCTCAATGCAATTCATCATACCCGTTGGAATTACTACAACAATAATTTTTAAAAAAGGAAACTAATAAGTGTAAGTGAGAATGTTTAGCAATCAGAGCTTTCATATGTTGCTGTCTATGAATGTAAAACAGTCACATTTCAAATAAATATGTTACAACCCATTTTGGAAGTAGAAATGATAGAGAAGTATGATGGTTCCTCAAGAAGATAAACATAGACGTCTCATATGACTCAGAAACTGCCCTTCACAGACATGAACAACGGAGCTCGCAGCGCAGATCCTGCTCTCCGGTGCACGGAGTGTGCTGCTAGAGATGCTTCCATATCACGGGCACCTGCCGGCGCTCCCAGCGCTGCCTCCTCCGAGACTCCACGCACCTCTTCAAGCTCAAAGGGAGCAGATTTGCCATCCATAAAAAGATCCAGTCCACTCTAGGAAGTTGGAAACCCGGGAGGACTGTCTTACAACATTGTACATCACAAAGGAGGATTTCAACTTCTGACTGGGTGTGAACCAGATTCATGCACCTGACTCCAACCTTCCTAGTGTCTCTGCTTTTTATTGAGAGTGCATGGGTTTGACTTCAGGAAGCTCGAGCTACCAAGTGGACTCGGTGACTGTTCAAGACGTGGCTGTGGATTTTAGCCCAGAAGAATGGGCATTGCTGGATGTTTCCCAGAAGCAGCTCTATAGAGATGTGGTGGTGGAGACCTTCACAAACTCAGCTACAGTAGAATTGGTTCTATTTCTCTACTGTAAATGATTAAGAAAACCAACCCCCTGAAGGTGTAATGGTAACATTCTTGAAAAATGACACAAGTGCCTCCATATTACAAAAAATCTGTGGATTTCATGGCTGTGTAAAGCAGGATAACAACTACAACACACTTTTGAGAATATATTTGGCATCTGGTGGAATATATCAGTAAAATACTGTTGATGAGATCTCCAGTCAAATTTCAATGATTTCTGCATTAAGAAGGACAGGATACTTACATCCCATGGAAAGTCTTCAGTATGGCAAATCATCCAAGGATCCTTCTTCCCTAGAGCAAAATGAGCAGTTTCACACTTCACTCAATACTGACCAATTCAGGTCATGTGGAAAAAACAATGTGTACACTCCAGTAGAATTTATCACAGGAAACACATGCTATGAATATTAGAGACTGTGGTAAATCTTTGGAGATTCTTCAACACTCACAGATGATATGGGAATGTCCAATGGAGCTAAGTCTTATGAACGTAAGCACTGTGGGAAGGCTTTACTCAATTCACATGCCTCTTTCAACATATGAGAATTCACAGTGGAGAGAGACCTTTTGAATGCAAGGCACGTGGGAGAACTTTTACTAAATCCACACACTTAGAGTCCATATGAGAATTCACAGTGGAGAGAGGAATATATGCAATGAGAGAACCTTTACTTAACTGGTAGTTTCACTAGACATATGAGAATTCTCAGTGGAGAGAATCCTTATGGATGTAAGGAATGTGGGAGAATTTTACTCAATCTGGTAGTCTCATTAAATATAAAAAAATTCACAGTGCAGAGAGGAATATGGGAAAGTCTTGACTCATTCCTAATACCTCAATCAACATGAGAATTCATGGTTGGGGAGAGGCCTTATGAGTCTAAGGAATGTCAGAGAACATTTACTTGATCCTCAGACATCATGATGTACACATTTAAGAACTCCCAGGGGAGGGAAGATTTATAAATGTAAGTCATGTGGTGACAGGTATAGTGAACCTGAAAGCTTCACTGTGCATATCAGAAACTATATTACAGAGAAGCTGTACGAATTAAGAAAATGCTATGTCACTCTTTGTAATATTATGTAATGTAATATGTTCTTTAATTTCCACTCAATTTTCTGATCTCACTTGTATTTCAAAAAAATTATGAATTACCACTTTAATTTATAGAAATATTATTTTACAACATCATCAATACATAGACATTTTGAAATATTTTATCCACTCTTTTCTAAAATTTTTAATAAAGATGATTTTAACAATGCTGTACCACACACAAAAATAAATGAAAACTGAAATCAAGTATATACTTGTAGACAGCTCATTGTAGTACTATTCACAGTACCCGAAAGATGAAATCCAAGAACAGATACAATGGGGAAAATACGGTATTACAGTCATTGAAATAGTATTAATCTATTTTAAAAAGTTCCAGTACCCGGAATGACATGGATGAACTTGACAAACATCATGTTGAGAGAAATAAGCCAGGTACAAAGGGCACATGTTGCACGATTCCTCCTGTGTGAGATCTCTAAACTGGGCAAATGTCTAGGGACAGGAAGCAGAGTCCCAGGACTGGGGCCGGAGGTCGAGGAGAAATGGGCAGTTACTTAGTACTGCATACAGAGTTTTTGTTGTGATATGAAAACATTTTGGAAATAGTTGTGACAATGTCACAATATTATGAATATAATTAATGTCGTGGAATTAGATGTCAATGATAGTTAAAATAGCAAACTTCATGTCCTGTGTTTCTTTGCCGAAGTGAAAAAAATAAATCAGGAGGGTGTTAGGAAGCCAGTTTTCTTAATTTCCAACAGTTTCCTTCATTGCCCTGGCAGCATTTATTGATTAATCAGTTTATCATTGATATGAAGTGCTCGTAGCATATTAATTGAGAGTAGCTTTAAAAAAATCATTGTATTGGGGGCTCTTACAGCTCCTATAACAATCCACACATTCATCGTGTCAATCGCATTTGTACGTATGCTGCCATCATCATTTTCAAAACATTTTCTTTCTACTTGGGCCTTTGGTATCAGCTCCTTTTTTCCCTCCCTCCCCCTCTCTCCCACCCTTGTGAACCCTGATGAATTATAAATTATTATTTTCATATCTTACACCATCTGCTGTCTCCCTTCACCCATGTTTCTGTTGCTCATCTCCCAGGGAGGAGAGAGGGCTGTAGCTCAATCATTGTAGGTGGTTTCTCATTTTTCCCTCTTCTCCCCCTACCCTCATGGTATTGCTTCTCCCATTACTGTTCCTGAGGGCTTTACTGGTCCTGGATTCCCTGTGTCGAGAGCTCTTATCTGTACCAGTGTACATGATCCAGTCTAGCCATATTTATTAGTTAGAACTGGGGTCGTGATAGTGGGGGGAGGAAGAAACATTAAAGAACTAGAGGAACATTGTATGTTCCATTGGGGCTGTGCTGCACCCTGGCTGACTCATTCCTTCCTTGTGACCCTTCTGTGTGGGAATGTCCAATTGTCTACGGATGGGCTTTCGGCACCCACTCCAACCCCCATCATTTGCACCAATAAATTTGGTTGTTTTGGGTCTTCTGATGCCTGATACCTGATCCTGTCGACACCTCCTGATCACACAGGCTGGTGTGGGCTTTGTTGCTTCCCTGCTAGATGACCACTTGTTTAATTTCAAGGCTTTCAGACTCCAGATGCTATATCTTGTAATAGCCAGGCACCATCAGCTTCCTTCGCCACATTTGCTTATGCACCCATTTGTCTTCAGCTATTGTGTGGAGAAGGTGAGCCTCACAGAATGCCAGGTTATTAGAACAAAGTGTTCTTGCATTGAGGGAGGACTTGAGTAGAGACCCAATGCCCATTGAGAGCAGCTTTTTTAAAGGTGGTTTTCTTAGGGTACCTTTCGATATAAAATCAAACTTCATGTATGACTGTATAGCGTGTATACTGTCTATTGATCAATAGAGGCATGTGAAGACTGCAGAATCAATGCAGCTGGCTACGGCAAGCACCATTGAGATTTCGAGGATGGCCAAAAGAGGAAACCGCCCTGGTACACTGCTGTCCAACCTCTGGGAATCCTGTGAGCATTCCTTCCTCAGCTTTATCTCCTCCCTGCCCAGGTTTCCATCTGTCAGCATCGACTGGCCAGTGTGAGCCATGCAAGCCCGGAGTGGAGTACACCAATGTGACAAACAACTTCTCCTCCTGTCTTCTCTGCCACAGTTGTGATTCTGGTATGAACACACACTCCGGGCCCAGAGGTGGGGTTTGGGGTGACCAGGTGGAAATCACAGCTGAGGTGGAGTTGGGACACGGAGACTCCAGTCTAACATGACTGTCTGTGTACCTTGAAACATAAGTGTGTCTTCACACACAGACAGAAATTAATGATGCAAACAGTGGCATTTGGTAGAGAAAAAAGTTTTTTAACTATCAGTTGGAGATGATGGGTTAGCACTCTTTCCTTTAAGATAAAGGGCAATATAACTGTTGCCTAATAATTCTAGCAAGGGGCAAGTACTTGGTTTGAAGCTGCTGCCCTGGTTCTAGTCTTGTGCCAGCCTCGTAGCTCTGTCTGCCCAAGGCCTCACAGCATGGCTCCTTAACTCCCCACCCCGCCTTTCTCAGCAGGGCCAGTTTTGGTGGGGTTTTAGGGAGTCCACCCAAGAGGTCCTGTATTAGTCTTGGTACTTTGGAGAAACAAATCCATAGCAACTCATGTATAAGACAGAGTTTTATGTAAAGAAAATGTGCATGACGAAAACATCCCAACCCAATGCTGCCCAAGCCCACAAGTTGAACATTACATTAACCCATTAACCCAACACCAGTCCACAAAGTCCTCCACCTCACAAAACAGTGGCAATGATGCCGACTGCAGGAGGAAAGCTGAATCAGTGAACGAACAAGCATCTCAGCACTAGCGGGGGTCTCCACATGGCTGCTCCAGCACCCAGGGCTGCATCGGGATAGGTCCATGTAGCTTCTCCTTGGGGATGTCTTGTAGGAAGTCGATCTTGCAAGCTGAAGCAGGGAACTGCTAAGGCAGCTGCAGCTGCACCCGCTGCAACCATCACAAAACAAGAGCCCCGAGAACTAGAACGGCGAGGCTTCACCACCCATTTATCCCTCCGCCTTTCAACTAGCCCCACATGTGATTATCGGCCAGCTTGGCACAAGTAACTAACTCAGGTCCCCTCCATGCAATGTTCCTCGATGCCTACCTCATTCACACTGTGTTCCTGCCCAACACCCCTCCTGCCTTCAACACCGAGCCGGGCTCTGCTCTGTTGTACGATAGCCGAGCAGCGAGCAGTGGCTGTGCTCTGGTCTGGGGCTGCAGAAACCGGGCCTGAAATCGACTGCAGTCGGGTCGGCTTGACCTGAGGGGGATGGGTGTGGGTGGCTGAGGGACCAGTCCGGGAAACAGTCTGTAAAGCCGTGTGCTTTGTCTCCAGATCAAGTGGAGATACATCCGTGCACCCCCACCAGAGACAGGGAGTGTGCGTGCAACCGTGGGACTTATCGTGACGAAGATTACACAGAGATGTGTGAAGAGGGCAGCCCTAGGTGAGACTCAGGGCTCCCACGAGCCAGGTGACCTGAGGTTCCGATGCTCCCTGTCCTCTTCCTTCTGTCCAGTCGTTCTGGCCCCCACGGGGCGTTCTTGAGCCCATGAGTCTCAGATGACTTCACAGCTCCTCTGACCCATCTGCCTGTCCCAGCAGCGTGCCTGCACCCATCTCTTCCCACCTCTACCCTGCACTCTTTCCCTGAGCCAGGCAAGCTCTCCCCTAGGTCCATGGGTCAGTCCCCACACTTTTCTTAATTTTTATTAAATGAGAAGAAAATGATTGAAAAGATTCAAGCTCAGATTACATTATCATATGCATCATGAAATATAATTTTTATGTTTTTTTTGGAGACAGGGACTCATAAGGACAAAAGCGCTTGTGGCCCCAGAACGTCAGAGTGAGGCCACAGGTCAGTCCTCCGGGCTTCACCGAGAGCCCCGAGCCTTCTCAGCCGGGCCGAGGCCAGGTCCTCAGGAATGCCAGTATCTCCTCTGCCCCATGGAGGCAGGAGCACATCAGCCAGGGCAGGGGAGCCAGGAGTGCTGGGAAGGAGGGGAGGCGGGCTGGTGCAGGGGGCCCAGCTCCTGGCCCAAGGGCCTTGATGACATTGCACCTGGAGAAAAGTACTTTGGCCACCAAGGGTGGCCCTCGTTGCCCAGGGAGGCACCGTGTGGGCACACAGATGAGCCCCAGCCCGGAGAATTAGATGGGGAGGTCCAGTGGCTGAGCTGCTCATGCTCAGCTCCTTGTACTGGACCCCACAGGGACAGTGGGGGCCATCACCCCTGGACACTGGAGATCCAGGTCCCTCCTCTAGGGGACACTGGGGAGGGAGTGGTACTCTTCTCATCTTCCCAGCCCTCGCGTGTAGCCCCGCTCATTTCTCTCTGCATCCCCCCCCCCCGCCCCCGTGCCCTGATGGGATGGTTGAGGACAGTCCCTGTACCCCAAGAGTGACCGTAATTGTGTCTCCAGAAAAACAGGTACCAAGGCCACAGAGAAAGCCAGAGTTTCTGAAGAGCCAGTGCTCACTGGCCTGTGGAGTCCCACCACTGCGAGTCCTCCTCCCTCAGGCACTGGACCCTGTGAGATCGTGGGGATCATTGGGATCGTTTCTGGACCAGTTCTGGTTCTGGCACTTATCTATTGGTGCAGGCGTCAAGGTAAGGCAGAATGAGGGTGAGGCAGGGGCTTTGCTGACTCCTTTATTGTCCCCTCAGCTGCCCGACATGGACAGGCACGATTCACCCCCAGTGCCCCGACCCCTGACCACACTCGGCAGGGCCGAGCTTGTTCTTCCCCTTGTAAGGCGTCTCCAGGCCAGCGAGCTACAGGCTCTTGGTAGAGCGCCTTTCTGTTCCTCGCCTTTTCCCCGTCCCCTTGTGATGCCCTGCCAGCTGGCCCTACCTTGGCGGGGAGTGTGTGTGTGTGTGTGGGAGGTTGGGGATACCCACAGGACCCACGCTCGCCACTTGCTAAAGGGCACAGTCCTTCTCTTCCAGGTCTCGGCGTGGTCTCCAGGGTCGTGAACAGAGTGAGTGGGCATGGCGTCCCTGGGCTGAGGGACCACCTCTCAGGAGCTGCTTCCGGCTCACACAGCATCCCACGTGGACTGGCTCCCTGGCATGGCCTGTGCTCATCCTCCAGCTCCCACTGTTGCCTGCTGGCTCTGGGCTGACTGTAACTTGGCAGGTGGTCCATGTGCCTCGCGGTGGTGCAGGGTCCTGTCTTGCTGCTGCTTGGGACGTCCCCTCTCCCCCACGGCACAGTGTCCGCAGACGGGGTGAACCTGCTGTGGGCACCATCCCAGGGTCCCAGCAGAGCCTGAATCTGCTGAGCTGTGTACCCACCCAGGGTGATGTCCGTGGGAGGCTTGGGGAAGGCAGGACTGACCTACCTGTGGGTCCCTGTAGAGTGAGTCTCTCTCCCTTAGGCCCGGCTCTGGTGGCTGTGCCACAGAAGAGGGCCCGGAGCTGGTGACAATGCCCACAATGAGTCCCTGAACAGCTATCTGTCACCCATGCTCAACTCTGAGCTGGGAATGGAAGGCCAGCAGCAGGCTGGAGTTGCAGGTGCCCTTGAACAGATCCCCGTGGAAGGAGAGCCTCTCCGGGTGAGTGGGTGACACTGTGGCCCTGACCTTTGTGCGTGCCCACTCATGTGGGTGGGAAGAGGGTTGGGCGTGTCCAGGCAGCTCTCCCTGGTCACAAGGGTGTGATGAGATTGAGGGGACCAGGGACCTGAGGGGAGTGGGCCGCATGTTGGGGGCCGAGCCTGCTCATGATGATGTAACTTCCATTCTACCCAAGACCATCTATCATGGCCCATCAGAGCAGTCCGCACTGATGCCCAGGCATCATCTAGTTCTTCTCTCTTCCCGTCTCAGGGCAGATGAGGTCTGGCTCCTGTAGACGCGTTTCTTTCCTGAACTTTCCTTCTGGCAATTAGGTGTGTCTTAGGGGACTGCTCACTTCATGAGGAGGCAAATGACGATTTTTGTGAATTTTTTCACCAGTTGATTGAGTGCTCCCATGGGACCATGGTCTTAAGGTTTCAGAATAGGTTTTGATGATGTTTAGTTAACTCTGAGGCTTGTTTGTGTTTATGTGAGAAGAACTGGTTTTCTTGCGTGTGCGCGCACACACACGCAAACACATACACACTTTCATTCATCAGTATTGAACTAACCTTTAGTACTTTTCTTTCTTCATCTTTGCTAAGTAGAAAGCACTTCGCTGACTTTCATTATTGTCTTTAATTTGTATTTTTCTGTCTGCACTCTATTTTGCATATTCGCCCGTCGTGGGAATGTTTTCTGGACTGACTGTCCATGGTTGTTATCTTGTCTGTCGCGTCTTTCTCTGGAGACCTGCTCTCCAGCCCAGCCCTTTCTCGCTTCGCCAAGAGACTCCTCCTCCCTTGTCTGCCTCTCCATTTCCCCTGATTTGCTAATGGACCGCTTTTTACAATCTCGGTAGCTCATCTCTTCCTGTGTTTATTCTTCCTTGCTCTGTTCCTCCGTTCAGAGCGTCCTTCCCCAACAGAAGATGAGATGAACATCTCCAGATGTTTTTCCCATTAATGATCAGATTTTTAGCATCACTACCCTTATGTTTCTTCACTACCGTCTAGCAACCAATCTCCTGTTTCCCTGTTTCTGGACCCTTTTTTGTCTTTTGATCTCTTGATAGCTGTTCCCTTGAGCATCCATTGTGGATCCAATCAAGACTAAATCCTTGACAACTTCAAACTTTTCTCCATTTATCATGATGCCACCTACCTACTGGCCCAGTGGTGAGGATGTTGGTTGTCTTTACATTAAGTTGTAATGTATCATGAAGGCTGCAATGCTTGAGCTTCATCAGCAAGTGCTTCAAGTCCTCACTGTCATAGAGCAAGGTTGGGCCTCTGCATGTCCCTAGTTGTTATTAGGCCTTCCTCGGACCCTGATGCCGAGGTCTTCTCCGTGTGGTCCAGCTTCTTGGAGTATTTGCTCAGCATGCAGATTGACTAAATATGGTTGCAACCCTGATGCACAGTTGTCCTGACTTAAACCACGCAGTGCTCCCATGTTCTGTCCAGTCCACTGCCTCATGGTCCATGGACAGGTTCTGCAGGAGCACAAGGAGCTCCCCATCTTCTCAGGGGGACCCATAGTCTGTTATGCTTCACAGGGTTGGATGCCTTTACCAGCAAATGACACCCATTGTAAGTACTATAGAAAAATATTCAGTGAATATGGAAAGCCTGGACTCACTCCCCTACCCCACCCCACCCCCAACTCTCTGGTGTGTTTTTATTGTCGTGACTAGGGGAGATAATTTCTTGTTGAAATCTTTGTACATATTACATATATATGCCTGTATATGGTGCATTAATGTAAGAGGAACTGGAATCTTCAATATTCAGTGTTTCTCTCGTTGAAGACAATAATATTAATCAATTTACATCTTTTATTATCACTCAAGGTAATGTCTTATCTGATCTTTACCAAGGCTCGTGCCCCTTGGTTTCATGTGTCGGGTATAAAGCGGCCCCTGGTTACAGTGTTGAACCTGCTGAGATAAGGAGGCATGGGCCTGCTTTGCCTTGGGTGGGAAGCTGATGATGGGCATCCCCAGGAAGAATTGTGCCAGCTCTCGTTTGCTATCTGAGCAGAAATCCTTACCGTTATAGTATACCCTCCTATGCTAAAGTGTTTGCTAACCATCAGACTTGTTGGTTAATTTTATCCAGCCACTTCAGCCTTGATGGGAGTTATCTGACATTTTCATTTTTAATGAAAATAATTGCCATTATTATTAATTAATGTATTGTTATTTACTAAAACACACTTGCATTCTAGGAAAAAAACCTACCTTTGATTTTCCATAGTGCTCTCATCGATGTTCTTCTATTCGAGTCTTAGAAAGGCATTTGGAGACCGTTATCTTTTGCTGGGCCAGTGGGATTGACAAGATGGGGCAGAAAGAAATTCTCTGGGGTCACGGACTTGGCCCGTGTCTCGATTTGAGTGTTGCATGTACAGGCATGACCAGCTGTCAGGCCTGGAACCAAGCACGCAGTGTCTTTGCCCTTTGCTGCATGTCACATGTTGCTGCCGCAAGCAAACACAGACGGAGGGTTGGAGGCTGGTAGGCGTATTGCTGTTTGCCGCCAGTCCCAGAGAAGGCTGGCATGTCACAGGTCACACAGCTGGCCGAGTGTCAGGGTCAGCTCTAGAATCCACGAGGCCCGACTCAGATCCAAGGTGTTCTCTGCTGTATTTTGTAGGAACCCTCACACGCCGAAGGGTCTCCGATGGGAAGAATGCTCCTGGTTCCCGCGGATGACGCAGACCCCACTGAAAGTAAGTCTTCTCCTCAGAGCAATGTCCTATAAAAAAAACGAACCAATTAAATCGCATGAATGATGTTTGTGTATTGTTTACATGTTCAAATCGTTGTCTTGTTTATATCAGGTTGCACGAAATGAAAGCCATGCCTTCCATTCTAACAGCCATCGCGATCTAGGACACTTATTTCTACCGGCAGGCAGTGTCAGAGCATTCCACCTGCATCCCATTTAATCTCCACTCTGGTGCCGTGATGGGCGATGCTGTACTCTGGCTTCCAGGCCGAATTGTTGCTCAGTTTACTTGCCCATTGTAGCGCTGCCGCAGAGCCAGGCCCTCGTTCTTTGTTCTTTCCGCTAAGGCAGATGCTTCAGGCCGGGGCCCTGACTCGAATAAGCACAGCCCAAAGTGGTGTCTCCCCCGAGGCCTGTTGTGCACGATCCTCTGTTGCCCCTGTCCTCTGGTAGCATAGCCTGCTTGCTTTTCCCATAATGGCCTATCCCGCTTCCCGAGGTTGGGCTCCAATCCTCTGCTGGGGATTGATGAGGGTGAGGCAGTGATCCTGGATCCTCTGTATTTGCAGCAGCAGGTGGGGGAAGTGGAGCAGTAGGGGAACCAAACTAGGGAGTGTCCTTCACCCAGGCCTTTGCTGAGGGGTGCCCCACCTAACTTCACTCTCTGTGTCTTTGTTCTCACACAGCTTTGCACTAATCCTTTGATGACATCATAGGCCTAGTGCCCTTTGATTCCTGGAACAAAATCATGCGGAAATTGAGCCTCACAGAAATGAGATCCAGCTGGCCAGACGCGGTGCAGACTGCACACCACACCAATTGCTATGCAAATGGCTCGGCAAATTGGGGAGAAAAGCCTCCATCAACACCCTACTGGATGCCTTGGAGGCCCTCGGAGAGAGACATGCAAGAGAGACGATTCAGGACCACCTGTTGGGCTCTGGAGTGTACACCTGTGAGCCATACATGCCAGTGAGCCTCTGGTGTTGTGATAACCATCTGCATATGTCATGGAAATGAACACCAGACTGGTCCCAAGAAGGTGAAGGTGCAGCATGCCCTCCTTTCCACACCACTGTTCCTCCATCACTTTCAACATCAAGCATCACCTTCTGTCTTACGTCCCAGGGTGCTGCCACTCATACGGTGGCCGTTGAGAACTCACCAGCAATGGAAATGGCTCCCGTCTCGTGGGTTCTGGTGTGTCCCCAATAAAAATGCAGACATCTATTGGGGGGGGGGTCCTCCTCATCCTCACGCCTGTGGAGCATGGTGAAATCGGATCCAAGAGCCAGATGCAGCATCCCAAGGGCGTGCTCTCCTCTGGTGCTTGCTTGTAGCAAGAGAATCCCCTCTCTTGTTTCTCACAGGGCTCATTTTATACCCCGCAGGGTGGCAACCACAACATATCTAAGACTGTGCATTTTTATTTATTTGTTTTTTTGAGCAAATAATTCTATTGTTAACTTTATTAAATATGGGTGTACATAAAAAGTAAATGAGTAATAATGAAAGTTTTGTATCTTTTTCAACATATCATAGCTTAGAACCACATAACACAATACAAACACATCTGACCTTTAAAGTGTATTGCCTGACTTCAAGTCAGTTCTACCTCATAGTCAATTCTCCTGTAGGGAAGAATAGAACTGCCCCTTTCAGTCTCTAAGACTGTAAATCTTTACATGTGCAGAAAGCCTCACCTTGCTCCCAAAGAGGAGCAGGTTATTCAAACTGCCAACTTTATGGTAAGCAACCCAATCCTAACCCACAACCCTAAAGAGGGCTGCTCTTATTTTATTACTTGACTTCAAATAGCATCGCTTACAAAGAAAGGAAAATGTTTAAAATTTTAATAAAAACTGCTTTATAATTTATGGAATAGTACTCTTTTTTAGAAAGGTTTGAATACATTATTTTAAAATATGTGATCTAATCATATATAACCTATCCTCTTGTTATATTTTAAAACCAGCTTAATATTATCCATCTTTTAAATACTACCTGTAGATTTATTTCTAGTCTATGGAAATATAGATTAAGCTTAAATAAAGTTCATAAAGTATCAAAATTTTGTTCAAATAATATAGTAGTGCTAACTTTCATTTTTTAAATTGCATTTTTTCCTGTTGTTTATAAGGTAATTCTGATGTGGAACTCATTCAATAGCACCTAACAACAGCATTTAATTAAAAAAAATTTTAAATAGCCTCTGTGTGTTTGTTTTAAATGTTTCCTTTATATAAAATAATATCTATATATAACCTTACTTATACCAACTAAGCAAGGGTGATGGTAGAATATATTTATATTAATTCTTCTTCATGAATTTACAGATAATACACTAGGCAATTAACTTTGAAAGGAAAGTAACTAGTGGGGGAAAAAGCCATGTTTATCTAATCAGAAGATTCTGGATTAATTTGACTTAAAAAAGAATATTTTAAATATGTGCATTTCAGATATGTTGCTTCCAATAGAAAATTCTCTGGTTTCTGAAATTGCTTTTTTTAATTGTTTTATTAGGGGCGCATACAACTCTTATCACAATACATACATACATTAATTGTGTAAAGCACATTTGTACATTCATTGCCCTCA